AAAGAAAGAAAGAAAGGAAGGAAGGAAGGAAGGAAGGAAGGAAGGAAGGAAGGAAGGAAGGAAGGAAGGAGGAAGAAAAGAAAAATTCTAGCTACCAGTTAGAGTCCACATCGAGAAGGCTGAAGTTGATTCTGAGGTATCTTCAACTATGAGAGATATTTGGAACTGTAGCACTCTTTAAGTCATTCTTCTCCAACCTAATTCCCTCTAGAAGAGGTTGGCCATGCTAACTTGGAATTCTAACAATTTGAATCCCAAAACCTGGGATGTTAATGCTAATGGAAGACACTGGATAGCTGCCCTCAAGTGAAAGTAGAAAAACCTGAACAAGTTAGACTGATTTTTATATTCAATTTAAGGGACAAAAACTTCACGATTTTCATTCATCAATCTAAACTAAACTCTATTCAAGGATAGAGGATAGTTTAAGGAAGGATTAATGATAGCTAGATGCAGTTATCAGTGGTTATTGGCATATGCCACAGTGCTGCAGGATGAACAGAAAAGGAACCAAATAATTCTTCAGATGGAAACGTGGGTTCTTCCACTGACTTCCACTGGTGTTGCTTTACAGCTTAAATTTTCAAATGACACTTGTTCCCTCTCAAGAAGGAGCAAAAATAGAACCTTAAAGGGGCTTTTTCTTCAAAAGGCGACTGGACTGTTTCTTCCTTGAAGAAAAAGAAAACCTTTCACTTCTCACACAAGAAGCTTCATCCGTTCTGAGCATCAGAATGGATGAAGCTTCTTGGATGAGAAGTGAAAGGTTTTCTCCTTCCTTGAGGGGAAAAAAAAAACCCCAGTCCAATTGCCTTTTAAAGAAACAAGCACCTCTGAGACAACTATGATTGAGAATCTCCACAGACATTGAACAAAATAGGAATTCCTCTCCCGGAAGAGGGTCATACATGAAGCCAAAGATGAGTGAAATCAGAGTAACAAAGAGCATCTCTAAATCAAAAATGCAAAAAGATGACCCTAGACTAACCCCACCCAAGTTACGGCTTGTTCCTGTAGATTGTATATCTTGCAGCCATCAAATTTACACAGTATCTTAAAATAACATTTGTGATAAATGTGCAATTTAACTAATTTATGGTACTCTGATGTGCTCAGGGCTACAGGGAAGATGAAAATCTTAAATGGAGCTTGAACAGCTCAATTCTCAACAAGAAATCAATATGCTGGATCTAAGAAAAGAAACTCAGTGAAGTCAACATTTTTGCGTGGGCACCCACACACCCCTTGCTTTGTTAAAATAAATAAATAATACACACGAACGTATCTTTAACTTTTCAGCAGCCCGGGTTCTAATAATTAATTGAAATCTTGCATGTAGTGATCTCTGCGGCAACTTCATTATATTTTCTTTTGGCATCAGAAATTGCAACTTGGCTGTTCTAATTATACCGTTGCCTTCATCATGCAAACTACATTGTAATTTTTCTATCGGGAAGAAGACAGCTTTGCATTGTTTAAAACTGTAATATTCATAATATTATGCTTATCTATTTCTTTTTTTAAAAAAAAAATCTTTGTTAGTAAATACTCAGATATTTCTTTTTTAAAAAAGAAATCTCTTTCAAAAATTCCAGGGCAAAACAGGGTTTAGATTTTTTTTTTTTAATGACATATTTATATCATTGTTTCATTAAATGTTCAAAATATGGCGAGGGTGGATAAAGATACAAATGCTAACATTTCAGATGAATATTTATTAGTTTTTATTTTAGTACTATGGTGCAATTTTTTTCAGATCTTTTTCAGATCCAAGGCTGCATTCTTTTTTCACTGACTCACTAGGATCCACCCCTACACACACACACACACAC